AAGAAGAAGTAAATTCTAAAATCTTCAGGCTAAAATTAGCAGTGTATCTTCCCTAGTCCTAATTAATCTTCCTTCGCTAGCACAGGAAAGGCCTGATCATGTTGGGGGCTTTGAGAAGAGAGTAAAACATACATATAGGTACTTTATAACAGTAATAGCTACAATATATTGAGCATTTACTATATGCTAGAGACAATGCGAGGATTCCTCAAGCATTATTGCACTGAATCCTAACAAAAACCTTATGTAATAGGTATCAATATTATCCACATTTACAGATGATACAACTGAGGTTCAGAGAGGTTAAGTCACCTTCCCAAAGTCACACAGGCAGTGAGCACCGGAGCTAGATTTGCACCCAGTTCCATGGGTCTGTGAAGCCTGGCCTCAGATCACTGTGCTCAAAGGTGCTGCATCATTATCTAATAAATTCATGTACACTTTCCCATGCATATGCAGTTCCTCTCCTAAAATGCGCATCCTTCTGTCCACCCAGCATATTCCTATTTATTCAAGACCCCAGATCAAGCATCTGCTCCTCTGCAAAGCTTTCATAACCACCGCCTGCTTCCCCATGAGAAAGTTTCTCATTTTCTCCTGTGAATGTCTTCAATGCCTGTGCATTCCTCTGCTGTGGCGTTGATATCATACTGTCCTGATTTCTCTAACACATGTCCATCTCCCCCACTGGGACCTATGGGGATAGGTACTATGTCCTGTCCACCTCTATTATGTTTAGCCAGTTAAGTGCCTGGTACAGAATGGGCACCCAAAAAAATACACATCTGTTTAGTGAATTAATTGGGAAGGGAGGAAAGAGAGGGCAGTTCTAATCCACCTTCCTTAAATACCCTACCACAGCTAGCACAGAGTGTTTCCTAAAGATTTTGTGACTAACTAGATGAAAAGATAGATGGACGAATGGATGAAAGGGAAAATGGTAGGGATTCAAGGAAATCGGCACTCACGTGGATGCCCCAAGTTTGCAGTTGCTCTTCTGCGGCTCCCAGATCGAAGGCGATGGGTGCACAGGTGTTGTCGATCCGGAGAACAGTGAGGACCTGGCCATTGTGGAGCTCTGGAAGCAGACCAGAAGCTTCATCTGGCTGACTGATAACCATACTGGGCTTTTGGGGTGAGCCCAAAGCCCAATGGCATCACGCCTCTGGCTGCGAGAACCCCCTTGAAACAAGGAGGGACACAGTGGCCATCCTCAAATCCCCTTGGGAAAAGGACCGGATTTGATTGGGAAGCCCCCAGGAGACAGAAAGAAGGCCAGAGAGAGGAGGCTACTAGGGCCGCAATGTGAGACCATGTAAGGACGAGCTTCCCAAGAGCAAAAGCTGTCCCCATAAAGAATGGGCATTTTTTGTCCCCCCAAAAAATGTTCCCCAACACAAGGAACATTTAAACAGAGACTGAACAGCTAACTACACTGAGGGGCGGACCTTTATTTAAGCATTGCAAAGGATGCTCAGCTGAATAAGTTAAATTCCCAGTAGGCTCAAAGAGTCTAAGTAAGAAATAACCGAGCCCAGGAGGCTGAGGCGGCAGTGAGCCCAGATTACACAACTACACTCCAGCCTGGGCAACAGAGCAACACTCTGCCAAAAAAAAAAAAAAAAAAAAGGTGCAGTGGCTCATGCCTGTAATTCCATCACTTTGGGAGGCCGAGGCAGGCAGATCGTGAGGTCAGAAGTTTGAGACCATCCTGGCCAACATGGTGAAACCCCGTCTCTACTAAAACTACAAAAATGGCCGGGCGCAGTGGCTCAAGCCTGTAAATTCCATCACTTTGGGAGGCCAAGGCGGGTGGATCACGAGTTCAAGAGATCGAGACCATCCTGGTCAACATGGTGAAACCCCGTCTCTACTAAAAATATAAAACATTAGCTGGGCATGGTGGTGCGTGCCTGTAATCCCAGCTACTCAGGAGGCTGAGGCAGGAGAATTGCCTGAACCCAGGAGGCGGAGGTTGCGGTGAGCCGAGATCATGCCATTGCACTCCAGCCTGGGTAACAAGAGTGAAACTCCGTCTCAAAAAAAACAAAAAACAAAAAACTACAAAAATTAGCCAGGCGTGGTGGCATGCGCCTGTAATCCCAGCTACTCAGGAGGCTGAGGCAGGAGAACAACAGCCCCAGAGACATTCACACCCCAATCCCCAGAGCCTGCAAATATGCTGTCTTCCATAGCTATGGAAGTAAGGGGGCTCATGAGCTGGCCCTTAATAGGGAGACTACCCTGAATCATCTGGGTGGGCCCCAAGAAATCACAAGGAACCTTAAACATGGAAGAGGGGGACAGAGGTAGAGTCAGAGGGAGACATGACTATGGATGAAAGGTACAGAGGGATGTGGCATCGCTCACTTTGACCATGGCAGGAGAGGCCCACAAGCCAAGGAATGTGGGTGGCCCCAGGGAGCTGGACAAGGAAAGGAAACGGATTCTCCTCAGAGCCTCTAGAAGGAAACACAGTCCTGGCAACTTGGGGGTTTCAGCTCAGTGAGATCAGTGTCAGATTTCTAACTTACAGAACTATAAAATAAGAAATCTAGCTCGGCACAGTGGTTCATGCCTGTAATCCCAGCACTTTAGGAGGCCAAGGCAGGTGGATCACCTGAGGTCAGGAGTTCAAGACCAGCCTGGCCAACATGATGAAACCCCATCTCTACTAAAAATATAAAAATTAACCAGGTGTGGTAGTGGGCGCCTGTAATCCCAGCTACTTGGGAGGCTGAGGCAGGAGAATTGCTTGAACCTGGGAGGCAGAGGTTGCAGTGAGCTGAGATCACACCATTGCTCTCCAGCCTGGGCAACAAGAGCAAAACTCCATCTCAATCAATCAATCAATCAATAACAAATCCGTGGTGAGTTTTTTTTTGTTTGTTTGTTTGTTTGGAAACAGAGTCTCTCTCTGTCACTCAGGCTGGAGTGCAGTAGCACAAACTTAGCTCACTGCAACCTCCACCTTCCAGGTTCAAGCAATTCTTGTAGCAATTCTTCCAAGCCTCTCAAGTAGCAGGGACTATAGGCACGTGCCACCATGCTGGGCTAATTTTTATATTTCAGTAGAGACGTGGTTTCCCCATGTTGGCCAGGCTGTCTCGAGCTCCTGGCTTCATGTTATCTGCCTGCCTCGGCCTCCCAAAGTGCTGGGATTACGGGCGTGAGCCACTGCACCTGGCCCAAATCCATGGTTTTAAGCCACTATGTTAGCGGTAACTTGTTAAAGCAGCAATAGAAAACTAATACACTGACTTATTGGTAATCCCGCCTACATATAGCTGCAACTCACTCAGCATTTCAAAAGCATAAATTACATGTTTATTCCCTCAAAAAACATGCATCAACCCAGGCTGCTCACAACAGCTACCATATATCCTGTCTTCCAAGGGTGGGATGAAGTCAGACCATGAGACCAGCTGGAGAGAAAGGTCTGGACTGAAATCCCCTCAGGCCCAGTGAGGAATTGCGGCAGTACAAGGCCAAACCTGCCTGCCTGCAGTTCCAAGTAGAGAAACTGGACAAACGGATCAAGATCTCCTTGCGCCACAGTACAAGGCCCCGTGAGCCACTGGTCAGTAGCCAGGAGGTCTGGGGGGGTGGGAGAGATTCCAGCCCTGGGATTCTAGGATCCCAGGTTTCAGCCACACACTGCGGACGAATGGAGATTTTGCCATCTTCCCTGTGGTTGCTGCTTAGACAATGAGGCAGGACTCAAAGGATTCAAGTGTAAGTGTGTTGTCTGCTGGCCCAGAACTGCTGTCACCCTAGTCTAGCTCTGAACAGTACTTGAGTCTTCAAAGCCAAATGACTCACTCTACCTTCCTGGAAATTCCTGGCCCATCCAAACCCTCTTTCTCCCCTCTCCCCCAGTGCATCACCAAGCCCTGCCCACTGGGCAAACAAAACATCTGTCCACTCTGTGCCCTCGTGGCATCCTCACCTCTCCCTTGGCCCTCTGCGGTAGCCTCCTAAGTGGCTTCTGCAAACCTTTACTTCTACGATGCCTCTTCCACACGGTGGCCAGGGTGCAGAGCAGATGATACCAATGCCTTGAGTAAAACTTTCAATAGCTTCCGGGTGCTTTGCAAAAGCCAACCTTGTTACCACATTCTTCCAGCCCTGAGGAAAACTAGCCTCCTGCCAGACTCACCTTGAGACCCTCAGCCTCGTTCTGTGTCTCACCACACCAGCCTCCTTCACTTCCTGAACGCATGTCCTCCTCCACCCCCAGCCCTTTGCACATGCTGTGCCTCTCCCTGGAACGCATCTACCTAGCTTCACCCAGTTACGGCCCATGCATCATTTGTACCTCAGCCCATGATTCACTTTCCCCAGAGAGACCTCCCTGACACTCTAAACTCCTAACTGATCAAATCCTCTGCTAAACCTATAACTGAATGCTCTTCTTCTTAATAGTCACCAAAGCGAAATACCTATGTTTGCAATTATTTGATTACATATGCATGCAGTTATTTGAATAAAATCTATCTTCTCCACCAGACTACACACTCCCACACTGGTCTGTTAGTCACTGAATCCCCCGATCTGATACTAACAGGAGACATTAAATACATGTTTGGTGTATAAATGAATGAATAAGGTAGGAAGAGTTTTGTTTTGTTTTGTTTTGAGACAGTGTCTCACTCTGTCGCCCAGGCTAGAGTGCAGGGGCACTATCATGGCTCACTGCAACCTCCACTTCCCAAGGCTCAAGCAATCCTCCCACTTCAGCCTCCCAAGTAGCTGGGATCATAGGCATGCACCACCACACTCAGCTTATATATATATATATAGAGAGAGAGAGAGACAAAGTTTTGTTTTTGTTGTCCAGGCTGGAGTGCAATGGCGTGATCTCAGCTCACGGCAACCTCCACCTGCCGGGTTCAAGCGATTCTCCTGCCTCAGCCTCCCAAGTAGTGAAATGACAGGCATGCATCACCACACCCAGCTAATTTTTTTTTTTTTT